CTTCCATCCACTGACCCGTAACACCAATCTTGAAGGATGCGATAAAAAGTCGTGAAGGGTTACAGTGAGCAGTGCTCACATAAAGCGAACAGTACATATGATACAACAGTTTAGACACAAGACTAGGGTTGTTACAATTAGACCCTTTGTTTTCAAGGCAATTACATTATTGCTTGCGAAAATGCCCTAGGGTTATTAGTTCAATACACATGTCATCATCTGCCGGCGCGTCAAACGTCTATTATCCATCAATCATCTTTCACGTAGCTTAGTGGTGGAAGAGGTCATAATCTCTAGTCAGATACATGTAGCCTCAATGGGCTACATGGTTCTAGGCTTCTAAATTTCCATGCTACGGTGCAAATCTTCTAATAACCCAAGTCTGGGCAAGTGGCTTTTTTACATTGGTGACGTCGCCAACAGATCCTTGCTTCACTCACGTCCACGTAACTTTTCTCCTACACACTTGGATAAACCGATAAGAAATGTAGCATTCTTGGAGGTAGGATAGGCAACAGCGTGCTCTCCAATGATTAATTAAGTCACTAGTATAGATATATTTGGGTGTGGCACGTGTGAAAGACGTAAGCCACAATAGTGTTTGAGTATTGGGATATAAGAGTCAAATGTGAGGAGGAGCAATTTTACTTCGAGTGTGTAAAATTGCATTACCTTTAAATTAAACTAAGTATGAGCTTTTAAAGTATGAGAGGAAGAGTGGTTACCGTTGATGAAAAGATACGCTAATTGCCTCAGATCACTTCTGCAGTATGTAATAATACCTCGTCTAGGTTATGGGGGGTTAGCCTCTACATGGCACCTCAATGGATGTAGTGTATCACTTCGACTACATTATATATGGCGTCATTTTGACCTTGTAGGACAGTGATGTGGAGTGCGGACCTGATTGAGCTGTCGTGATTTGGAGCCACATTAGAGGAGACATAGTAATAGTCTCCTAAGCTTATCTATGGATATTTATAAAATTCGCGGATTTTCCGATTGAGTAGATCATAAAGTTGTAGGATGATCCATTGTTGAAATGATGCTCTGGTGTAGGGATGGCAAAATGGTCGAGTAGCTCGTTGGCTTGTCCTATGGACGGCTCGAGCATGTTTAGGGACAAGCCCGAGTTGAGTCGAGCGTCAAGCTCGCGAAAGTCTTGTGGGCACGACACACAAGCCTAAAGTTCACGATCCCACGAACCTCATAAAAATGTGAAGGAAAAAGTAAAAAAAAATACGAGCTCTTGGGCTCGGCTCGTGAGCACATGAGCTTGTGGGCCGAGTCGAGCTTGACCCTTGACCACGAGCTGAGCTCGGCTAGACCCATTGCCACCACTACTCTAGCGTATAATGTTTTACCCTCACCGTGCTAGGTGGTTGGTTGTGTATTTGTGTGATTGAGCAAACTACAATAGTTCCACAAGTCCAAGTATGATTATTTATATAATACATGGACTTAAGTTATTAAAGTGATTTTTTGATACCTTATGTGGCAGCTATACAAGCAAGCACGTTATTGTAGAGGCAAGATCCTCGCTTGAGGATGATTCTCTAAAAGATAAGTAGATTAATGAAGCTATGATGCATTGACAAGGTCCTAGCATAGAGGATGCTTGCCTCATCGTAACTAATAAAACTTCGTCTTTATATAATGAATTGACCTCTTAACTCCTCAATTTGACCTTGAATAGATTAGATTTGATAACTCTTATCACCTCGGATTCTCATACTAAATTTTGCAAATCTTACAAGTGTTTACTTCTTGATACTTGTAGTAAAATTTGTAAAATGAAGTATTGAAGCCTCAGGTTAAATGACACCTTCATAAGCTTTTTTTAAGTAATTACTTCTTGCGTAGTGGATGGTGATTCAATGGAGGGGATAACGAGGTCGATCTCAATGGTTTCAAAGTGGGCTCTCTCTGGAATGCTTCACACTTCTCGTGCCGAAGCGATAAAGACTTCCTCAAATGGTGGACGTGTCATCTATCTCAAGGGCTTCTTGCGTGGTAGATGGTGCATCCTGAGAATAATGAGGTCAGCCTTGTAGGTTCCAAGGTATGCTCCTTTTAAAATGCTTTACACCTCTCATACTGAGGTGACAAAGACTTCTTTGCACAATGGATAGTTCATCCATACCAACTATTTCATTTTAAATTTGTTTTTTAAATTTGTAACAATGGATGCTTTACACCTCTTTGCACAATGGATGCTTTCCACCTCTCATACTGAGGTCAAAAAATTGTTTTTAAAATTTGTAACAAATCTAATTTTTTCAAAAATAATTTAAAATTTGGGCAATTTATATGAATTATAAATTCAATAAAAGTTACACCCTTCTCCATTTTCTGGCTTGGGACTGTTACAATCAACGTAGATGGAGTTAGAATTGTATAAGAATAAACTATTTCATTTACAATTTTTCTTAAAATAAATAAATTTATAATTCACGTATTTTTTTGAAACTAATCAATTTAAAAACTTACAATATCACATCCTTGAATTTGCTGCAACTCTTCGGCTATTATACTGTCAACTTGTTCTTGAATATGTAATTCCGCACATTCCCAGTCCTTTAAGCATATTAAAGCCTCCAATATATTTTCTTTTATTTTCTGATCATTCATCTGACAATACTCGACCACCTAAACTAAATTCAGCCTCCGATGCTACCGTAGACACCGGAGGTCTTAGTTGATGACGTGTAATTTTTGATATAATTGAATATTTCCTTACGTTACACCTTTACCATAATAGAAGACTAAATTTATGTAATTTTTTTGGTTGTAATACACTACGAACGTCTACGCACATATACCTAGTTAATTCAGAAGGAATTTCAAAATTTGTACCACTAACATTTATCGCTCTAGATATTGACGAACTAGAACTAAATGAAGGAACACTTGTATTGGTATCCAAATAATTCCATATATCATCTGAATTTGTTAAAATATTTCTTAAAAGAGAACTTTGGGAAGTTGAATTGTCGTGACCTCTTTTTAAAGCATAATAATTATACATTTCACATAATATAGACTATATATGCACATTGATAATTCCACATTCTGAAATTTGAAATCTCTTTTATAATAGATTTTGTGCTAGTTAAATTAAATTGATGGTCCTTCACCAAAGTTAAAAGAAATAAAGAGGGCAACTATTCCCAATATTTACGAATTTTTAACTCCATAAAGTAGACTAAATCAACAAAAATTGACAAATTCCTATATTTATGTTTGTGAAATGTAGAAAAAGTGTTGTAAAACAAGTGAAAATGTAGGGTAATAAATATCACTACATTCCTTTGTGGCATCGATTTTTTTTAAAGAATTTCTTCACACAAAATGCAATAGACCAATTCCCATTCTTCCAAATTATATTCGGGTCCATATGTATGCCAACTATTATAATATAGTGAAATAATTTTATTATAATTTTCACGCGACTGTAACATAAGATATGTAGAGTTCCATTTATGTGTTACATCAGTAACAAATGATTATCTTGTAAGTCATATTCTGCACATAAACTGTTAAATGCTTGCTTTCTTACTGGTGAAACAGTAACAAAATTTATTGATTGTCTAATTTTATTTAAAGGCAATCTTATATGTTCTAATCCATTTTTACAATCAAATTGATAGTGTAACATACACAACGTTGATGAAAAATAAATTTCCAAATGCAAGGTTAAAATCATTAATAAATTTTTCGATAACAACTTTGTTCATACTAGCATTATCAAAAGCAAAACTTTGAAACATTTCTTGTATACTATATTCTTGTACAATATCTTTTAAAATCATGTATATGTTAGTGTCATTATGAGGATATTCTACACATTTGAATGTAATAATCCTCTTATATAGAAGCCACCGGTGATCAATGTAATGAGCATAGCAGTAATATAGCATTTTTTATTGCCACCGGCCCATAAATCAGAAGTAAACGATATAACACTATTAAAAGTTTTTAGACCTTCAATAGCAACTTGTTTTCTTTTGTTATATAATTTTATAGTATCTGAATGAAGAGTATTTTTTACAATAAGAAGTATATTTGGGTTGGAGATAATTTTGCACGAGTCGAGTAAAGTGTATTGAGTCTATCACCGTAAGTGGCATCTCTGTTACGGCCACGTATGCATCAATTCCTTTACGAATTCTTTCCTGTGAATATACAAATGTGAAAAGAGTAAAACCAGAACCGCCAAACACTAGTTCGTCTGTTTCGAGT